CGCGTGTGCGTGTGGCTCCGTCATCCGAGCTCACCTGGCCACCCTCCCCGGCTCCGCGCGCTCGTCAGCACCGCGGACAGCGCCACGCCCGCTCGGGCCCTGCGCTCCGGCCTAGGCCCGGCGCCTGCGACACTGGGGAGTCCTCCCCGCATCCCCTTTGTCCTGGGGAGGCTGGTGGTGCGGGAGGGTCTGGAGGGAAGCCCCTGGAGGTCTTGGCTGGGGATGTGAGGGCGGAGCAGGTGTGCAAGGGCCCTGCTTTGTCCTCACAAGCCTCTCTCCCTCTGGGCCTCCATCGGCCTCACCTGCTGTCCTGGTCCTATTTTGGCAGCAAGTGGGATGCGGTTCACCTGGGAGTGGGGAGAGACACCTGGAGGAGGGGTGCAATCCTAGCAACCCACGTGCATGGTTTCCCGGGGCGGCTGTAACAAAGGCCACCTGCTCTCACGGTTCCGGAGGCCAGAGGTCCAACACCAAGGTGTGGGCAGTGCTGGTTCCCTCTGAGGGAGACTCCTTCCCTGACTCTTTCTAGCTTCTGGAGGCTGTTCCTTGGCTCAGGGTTTTATCACTCCAATCTCTGTGTCTGTCTTCACGTGGCCTCTTCTGCCTGTCTCTTATATTCTTATTTTATTTTTTTAAATTTTTATTCTTTAAAATGTATCTTTATTGATTTCAGAGAGAGGAAGGGAGAGGGAGAGAGAGATAGAAACACCAATCATGAGAGAGTCATTGATGGGTTGCCTCCTGCATGCCCCCAACTGGGGATCAAGCCCACAACCCGGGCATGTGCCCTGACTGGGAATCAAACCCTGACCTCCTGGTTCATGGGTAGATGCTCAGCCACTGAGCCAAATCGGCCGGGGCTCTTATATTCCTATAGGGACACTGCTCATTGGATCTAGAGCCCACCCTAACTCCAGGATGCCCTCATTGGGAGATCTTTAGCTTAATGACATCTGTAAAGACTCTGTTTCCAAATAAGGTCACATTCAAAGGTACCAGGGGTGAGGACTTGGACACATGTTACTGGGGACACGATTCAGCCCACTACACTAAGGTTCTGGATTTGGGGTCTGCAGGAGGTCACGTGTCAGCTGGGGGAGCCTCCCGGTGCTGTGGGGCTCTGCCTGGGGCTGGTGCCGGCTGTCTGCTCATGGAGGGTGTGTCCCTGTGCAGAGTGGGGGCCTGACAGCTGGTGCCCAGGACTGTGAGGGTCGGCTCTGTGTACGGGGCACCCTGGCTTCAGACTGAAGGAATGAGTGCGTGGATCTGGCACCTGTGGCTTCCGGGGGGCTCGCTGTTCCAGGGCAGATGGATGGGCTGAGGGTGAGCCTCGGGCCAGGGGGCCTGGGCAGCTGTGCCGAGCTGAGCCCTGTGAGCATCCAGGTGGCGGCGGTTTGTGATTGACGGCTGGGGAGCGCCGGGTTAAAACGACCCATCTGCCTGCCCCAGCCTCCCAGGGCTTCCCGGGATGCTGTCACCATGGAGACGGCACATCCAGGCAGGGCACCCTGAGAGGCTGCGGGGAAAGGATGGTTAACCCTGTGTGTGCGAGCTCCCGTCCTGACCGCTGCCCTGGCCAGGCCTAGGGGAAGGGGAGGGGAGGCTGGGGCCAAGTGAGGTTCTGGACACCCCCAATTCTTCCAAAATCTGTGGAGTGGGGCAGGCTCCATGGAAACCTGTGTAAGCATCCCGGTGGGGCAGTGCCCATGGGGACCCTGGAAGCCCTGGCTACTCGGGCAGTGCAGCCTGGCCCTGAGCGAGATCCATCCTCACGGCCCCGCCTCCTGAGTCTCCTGCCCACCTGGTCACAGCTCGGCCTTTAGGTTTCAGTGGGGACGTAAGAGCGGGTCTAGCGGCAACCCCCTAGCACAGGTCCAGACCAGCCACACTGATGGCCCTGTGGGTAACGGCTTGAAGGAGGCCCCATCTTTTTGGCATGTGCGCTGGGATCCGGGTAGCCTCGGGCTGAGGGTTGGCCCTACATTCCCGGAAAACAGTGGTGACCAAGGTTCCCAATCCTGGGTCTCTGAGAGGACAGGATGGGCAGCCTGGGGCCAGCACAAGGGGCTGGAGGGTGAGGGAAGTGGCCCCTGGATGGGCAGAAACCCAGGGGTGGTGCGCGGTGACCCACTCTCTCCTCTCCCCCCCGCAGCTCCTTCCTCTACGCCTTCCTGAACCTGCTGGTCAGCGCCTTCATTGTCTTCCTCATCTTCATCGCCAGCACCATCGTGAGCGTGGGCTTCACCATGTGGTGCGACGCTGTCACTGAGAAGGGCACTGTGCCCCACAGGTGCGCCCCTGGCCTGCCCCCTGCTCCCTGGATGGCCTCCTCATGTATGAGTCCTGTCCTGAGCCCGAAGCTTAGCTCATCCCACCTGTGCACACCTGCCCACTCCTCCTCTGGGACCTGCCCCTGGACGTCAACACCCCCTTCCCAGATAGGGGGCCTGTGGCTCCACTCAGAGCAGGGCCCCACACGCCCTGGGGTGGCTCTGGGGGGGGTGGCCCAGGAGGTCAGAGCATCCAGCTGCCCTGTCAAGTCTGGCAAGTCTGACAGGATGGGCTCCAGGTCCTGGAAGCCGGGGTGTGGCCATGCAGCGGAGGCAGAGGCCCAGCGGGGTGTGGTAGTGGGGGCTGTGTCCTGGAGGCTTTGGAAGGTGGTGGGGGCGGTGAAGAGTAGGAGCAGCGGCTTCCGGGCTGAGCAGATTGGGGACAAAGGACTTCAGGGCCAGAGTGGCCACCCTGGGCCAAGCTGGGTGCAGTGTCTGATGCGGGGGTGGCCCTGATTGGAGCACGGTGACTGCCTGACCCTCAGAGGGGGCAATGCCCAGTGCCCCAGGCCAGGACCCTGGGAAGGCAGACTCTCAGGTCCCCTCTTCCAGAGGCTCCAGGTTCTTTAAGCAAAATCAGACCTGGATCCTCACATATGAGATGGATGAAAGGGCCAAACCAAGGGGCACCTCATCTCCTCACCCTGTGCCCACACCCTGGGGCCTAGTGGCCTGTGTAGCAGCCGGGGAAACACACCAGGGGAAGGTTTGAGCATCCTGGGTGGGCGGCTCCGAAGGGCTCCATGCCCAGGCAGCTCCTCCATGGTGGGTGGAGTCTTGCCCACCCTGAGCTGAGCTCTGCCTGCTGGGTCCCCCAGGCTACCCCCTTTCTCTCCTTCCAAAAGCCCTCAGAGCAGGGGGCCCCCAGGCCTGGCCTTGGGCTTCTCCAGAAAGATGCCTCAGCTCTCTTCCCTCACTAATACCAACTCCAGCGCTTCACCCCCACCCCCAGCGCCCTCCAGGGAGAGCCTGGGCCTCTGGGCCTCCCTCTTTCTGGGCTTCATGCTCCTGTTAATGTGTCCTGATGTCTCAGAAGGCTATGGGCCTGGAGCCCACGCCTCGTTCACCCCTGGCTGAAGCCAAGCCCAGCCCAGCCGGCCCACTGATGGGTTTGTAGGCGTCACTCAGGCCTGTGGTTTACCTGCCAGCCCCTGTATTAGCGGGCAGTGGGGTCCAGGGACAGAGTCTCTAGGCCGGAGTCTGTGTGGCATTAGGGTCCCGTCTGCTCCACCTTGAGGACAGGGCCCCTGCCCTTTGGGGTGATGCCCGCTGCTTTCTGTGCTTGGTGGCCTGGCAGTCACCTGCCCCCGCCGCGTGTTGCCATTTCAGCTGCGAAGAGCTCCAGGACATCGACTTGGAGCTGAACGTGGACAACTCTGCCTTCTACGATCAATTTGCCGTCGCCCAGGTAGGCGGGCCCCTGGGTGGGCGGGGCCTCCTGGTGGGCGGGGCCCCGTGTGGGCGTGG